CATCACTGTATGTAGCAGAACCTCAACTGGCTAGCAGACTTCCCTGTGCATCCTCCCAAGAGAGTTACCAAGCTACTGCAAGGATGCAGCTTCTATACTTCCCCACATATAAACAGGAACACCTTTAAGCACAAAATATTAGGTCAAAAGCCATGCCCCTTTCACACCTCAGATCTTGCAGACCATGAGGAACTAAGGAGCAAATATGCCCAGTTAAACCCATTTATGATTATTTCTACCCCTTCATTCCTTGTAAACTAATGTTTGACATCCAGTAGGTATAATATTATGAAGATTTGATGAAAGGTTTGGAGCATTATAAACACTTTAGGCTTGTGAATAGTATGTTCATTTGTCTGTATGTAAACCAGAAAAAGGGACATTTGAGGAGCAAAGATGGAAATAGGGATTTGCTTCCCATAGAGGGACAGTCCCTCCAAATGAGGGACAATTGGAAAGTATGAGCTTCTACCCAGCTTCACCTAGCCTCTTACCCTATAAGCACCCTATCTCAGGCCAGCTTTCCCCTCTAACAGGCAGGACAGCTTCAGGCCCAAATTCAAGCCTCCACATATAGGCCCTCCCTAGGCAGCAGGCCTATGCGAACAGTCAAAAACACATCTTACCCCAGGCAAGAAACTGGGGGGATGTGGGTGGAGAAGCACCTTACAAGGTCACTCCCAAATATTTATGTCTTTCCCCAACATGCACCACTGGCAATAAACCTCCTAGTTGTTGGCCAGGGAGACATAATTATTTATAACCCAACATTATTGAATTTTGTTGCTCTATTTGCCTTAGGAGAGACCAAATGAGTACAGCAATATCAGCTGCTCTCAAACACCTGGTCATACCCAGAGATGTAGCCACCGCAAGGCAAACAAGGTGCTTGCCTTGTGCAGCACTCTTCAGGGCGGCACTTTCCAAAACAGTGAGGCAAGACTGGCTGCACAAAATCAGGCAGCCTCGGCTGCCTAATCAAGGAAAGTAGGCAGCCGCGAGTGCTCGCTGGAGGAGGAGGCAGGGAGTGGTGGTCACGCGGCGGAGGTGGCTGGGCACAGCAGCACTAGTGGTGGAGGAGGCCAGGTCCAGCAGCGGGTGGCTCGAGCTGACAGCAGATTTCATCAGGAGGCAGGCTGGGGAGCTGCAGGAAAGAGGATCACACTGTGCTGGTAAAGGGACCCTGCAGAGCCCAGTATAGATCCTGCCTCCCATCTGAGAGCCTCAGGTGGGCTCTGTGGGGTATCGGGTGGGCTGTGCAGGATCTGTGGTGGGATCTGCGGGGTGTATGGTGGGCTCTGCAGGGTCTCAGGGGGACTGTGCAGGATCTGTGGTGGGCTCTGCAGGGTCTCAGTTGGGCTCTGCTGGGTCTATGGTGGGCTCTGCGGGGTCTATGGTGGGCTCTGCAGGGTCTGTGGTGGGCTGTGCAGGATCTGTGGTGGGCTGTACGGGGTCTATGGTGGGCTCAGCAGGGTCTCAGGTGGGCTTTGCAGCCTGAGACCCTGTAGAGTCCACCAGCGATCCTTCACAGCCCACCTGAGACCCTACAGAGACCACCATAGATCCTGCAAAGCCCACCTGAGACCCTGCATAGCCCACCACAGGTCCTGCACTGCCCACCATAGACTCTGCAGAGCCCAATATAGACCCTGCTCAGCCCACCTGATACCCTGCAGAGCCCACCTGAGACTCCAGCTTCCCAGCTACGCTAATAGAGGAAAATGTCAAAAGCTGGATACAGCATGTGCACTGTATCCAGCGACTGACAGGTTACACAAATGTCTTAACCGGGAGAGGGTGGGGCAAATTTATATTGGGGGTTGCCGAGTTTCGTCTTGCCTAGGGCAGGCCCAAACCAAAATTCACCACTGGTCATACCCACCACAGAAATACAGTGATGTGTGATTTTGTATTTTGTCTCTTCATTAAGATCTCTTTGCTGGTTTAATTAACTTGTGTTCTTTGATGTCCACCTAACTTAAGGATATGTAATTATGATTTTTCAGTTATTTGTATGAAGCTATGTCTGAAGAAGAAAACTGTTTTCAAAAGCTTGCACCTCCTCCAATATAGTAATTTAGCCAGTAAAAGGTAGTGCCCACTTTTTAACTTTTTCCACAAGGAATGTTAGGGCCAAAAAATGTATATGGCCCCATGGGATTGGGAGCCCATTACCACTTGTGTAGTTCTGGGCTGTTTCTGGTTCTCCCTTCTATTTCAGGCCCTTGCTTTTGCTGTTACCAGGCAAGAAGATGAACAACCTAGGTGTGGTTGGGAAAAATGACAGCTCCTGTCAAATGAGATTGGTGTGGATGCTTTCGGGCGGGAAAGCAAGCAATTAATCACTGTTGGTACTGACCTTTAAATATGTGACCTTTAAATAAGATCTTCCTGTCAGCAGCTAGATCTTCTATCAAGCAGAGCTGCCCACACTGCCACTCCCTTTGTTGCAGCTATTCTGTTTTGGGGAGTATTGACCCCCTGTAGGCGGACAGTGTGTCTCCTCAGTATTTTCATCAGACTGGTATTCAAAGTTTAAGCTTAAGTCTTGAGGCTGGGTTCTCCGTTTAACGTTGTCATAATCTTTAAAGTTTGGTTTTCTGGTTAATTTGTTTCATGACTAATTTTACTTTTTATGTCATTTGGTTTTATTAAAGTTGTTTTAAACCTCAATAAAAGACACCAACCATTTATCTTCCTTTATTTTGGTGTCTAGCTTCTTGTATTTGTTTATTAACATTTATTTTGTTACAGGTTGGTGGACAGGTGCTGTGGGGTTCACATCCCCATGGAATCTGTTGTGGTTTTCTGTTACTGTAGGCCATCCTATTCTGAACCTCTTGACCATGTCTGCTTGCTTTCCGTATTGTCCTGCAGCCACTTGATCCAATATTTAGCTATCTGTGTTAGTGAGTAAGTGCATCATATAAAAAGTCAATTGAGTGGATATACTGCTTCTTGGTGCATTGGCATTTCATTGTATGGTCAACACATACTGTACACTATCTTTGTGCACAGAAGAACAGCAATGGCTGTATTCATCCTAAAGAAATCATGGGCCTCTGTGAAGTGAAGTACAGTTAGAGGGGTCAGCAGCAAAGTACAAAGTTTACACTTTGGGGTCAATTTATAAACAATTTGCAGAGCCATTTTGCCCTGCGAATCTCTGTGAATGTTCATTCTGTGCAAATGAATGCACAAAAGGAACGTTCTTTTTCTTTTGTAAGTCCAATGTCATTTTGAATGTCATCATATAATACTGCATTATGGCCAGCTAGATGGAGCTGAGCAGCATAGCAAAATAATACCGTATTTGCCGGCGTATAAGACGGGGTTTGAGACCCCAAAAAAACGCCCGAAAATTGTGGGTCGTCTTATACGCCGGGTATACTTCGGTATACTGTATGTAGCTTCGGCTACATACAGTATACTGCGCTGAGCCAATCACGGCAGGCTTTGTATTCTTTAATGCAAAGCCTGCCATGATTAGCTCAGTGCTGAGCCAATCACGGCAGGCTTTGTATTCAGTAAATACAGGCTTTGTATTAAAGAATACAAAGCCTGCCGTGATTGGCTCAGCGCGGTAGTAGCTGAAGGACGGACATGGAGGACGCTGCTGGGATCCTGGACAAGGTAAGAGACTGTAATCCCGAGTGTGGCTCAGGGTTACCGCTTATGGTACTGAAAATTAACCCCGAGCCACACTCGGGAATACCGCCAAGGAGGTTAGTAAGTGCATTTAAACATTGTTTTGGGCTATACTCATCTTATACGACGAGTATAGCCCAAAACCTATATTTTTACACAAAAAGTATAAAAGGGGTCGTCTTATACGCCCAGCCGTCTTATACGCCAGCAAATGCGGTACTTTTTCTTATGCTCCTCATCTCCATCTAGTGGCCATAATGTGGTACTTTACATATAGTACAATTAAATTGGAAAGAAAATGTACAAAGAATGTTAATTTGCACAAAACAAATGTTCATGGAGTTTCACAGGGCGAGTGGCCCTGCAAATTGTTTATAAATACACCTCTTTGTGTTTTCAAAGGATAGAGAGCAAAGGCAGCTGAGAGGAGTCTCATCTTCTGTTTGAAAGCTCTCAGTTAGTGGAAAGTGTGGCTGATTCTGAAAGCAGTGTCTGGGTTTAAGGTTTGCAATAACTGAGTCAATACTATATAAAAGGGCTTCACCATTCTTGTTTGCTTTAGTAGTATAATGTCTCGGTTTATAACCCTGCACACATCCAGAGCTCATGTAACAAACTGTACCATGGATGGTAGATTAAATACTCTCTCAGGCAGCAGGCCTAATAGGCAAAACGACTATAGTGAATGAGGACTGCAGTATCCATGTCAACCAGTGCTGTGGTCTACATACATTTTATCAAGGTGAAAGGCAAAGAAAGTGTGTCATAGCTTGAGCATTGAATAAAGTCATGTTACAGGAAAGCACATCAAGTATTTCAATTCAACATTTCATAATTGGAAATTTTTTTATGTTCTCTTCTCAACTGGTAGCTCTACTTCCTTCCTTAAAGCCAAAACTTACCCAGCATGTTTATGCAATGACTAGAGGAATATTTTTTTTTTATTCCTTTTTTGAAGATATAATGGATAATATATTGCTCAATGTAACCTTAAGCTGTAATGCATAGCAGGAGTCATGTGAAGGCCGAAAGATGTTTTATTAAACAGATCATATGTGCATTATGAAGTTACAATGATCCCCTCCAGGCATCAATATTATAAATTCATTTCAAATGCATTTGGCATGTGAGTATTCATAATTACAAATAACGATAATCAGATAACCTTTTTTTTTTTTGATTAGCTGCTCACATTAAAAAAAATCTAAACCCTAATGCAATCTGAATGCAGCAGCCTATCTGATTGTGTCTCCAGGAGGAAGAGAGATGCGAACACATATTGTTGTATAGGGCAGTGAAGCCTGTAATGCTGGAGACCCCGCCTCCACTCTGTAGCCTGCAGTAAATGGAAACGCTATGTATCTATGCTTCTCTTGTCATATGGCTGACATGAACACCAATATATTTAGAATTCTTCAGCCTTGCTGCTTTTCATTTTCATGCAGCAAGATCACAGCTTAGAGTACACAGAACATTCCAGCTATTTTGTAGCATTGGGTACAGGTTTTCAAGACGAATGACATTCTCACCTCATTCATACTCACACAAAGGTTTGCCGGCTTTCAGGGACATGCAATGTAAGTTTTCTGACAGCTTGAAATCTGTAGATGGCAGCTTTTCCGCTTATCACCTTTGTGGAACGCAGGGGACACCCAGCAGGTAAAGATGACTATGTATACATGGATTGCATCTCTACAAACATTTTCATTTTGGTGTTTCAGTGGCACTGCAGCTGAATGCAGGTTTTCCTCTAGTGACTGAAATCTTCATTATTATGTTTTTTCCTTCCACGTAAATTTGTCCTAAATTTTTGTTTTTAATTCTTTTTAAAAAGTTTGTATTGCTTTTTAGCATATAATTGGATACATTTGTAATGCGCACTTGATAATGTATATTTTGTCTAAACGTTTGAAAGTATTTGGAAGCATTTCTTTCTTAGCATGTTCTTTTTTTTTTCTGCAGACTTGGCTTATTCTTTGGACCAACAACGGTCATCCCAGTAGATGGTGACAATACATAAAGGCTAAGGGGACAAGGCTCCAACTGTAATAGCAAACGCTTATGCAACATATCATTGATAACCATCCAGACATGGCTACTGCTTTGCTAGCTGGAGAGAAATTGAGAGAACTGATCCTGCCAGGGCAGCAGGATGATAAGGCTGGGTCCCTGGCAGCCCTTATGGTTCAGCTAAAACTGGAGCTACCTTTTGATCGAGTGGTAAGCATCGGCACAGTCCTCATCCCTATTCTCCTTGTCACCTTGGTCTTCACAAAGAACTTTGCTGGTGAGTCCAGAATGATTTCATCATTCTAGCCACTTTCTAATACATTATTATAAAATGGCATTGTTGATAGCGTAATTGCACTAATTTGTGGATGCAGAAGAGACTAGGGTGAAAGCTACAGTTATTGGTAAATAAATCGTTCATATTTATAAAGATTATCTCATATATCCAATAGGTTTGGTTTATGTTTAACAAAGTACTTTTCAGATGTATGTATTTATTCATATGTGGGATGCCGTATTGCTTCTTAAATGTACCCATAGACATGAGACAATAGCCATCGTGTTCAGCCATTTCCAATCTAAGGTCTATGTGTGCATTGCTAACTCCAACAGCCAATGGTCATTGGTAATAAAATAATTATGCGCGACACAATTATTTTATTAATTATTTAATTTTATCAATTTTCAATAATATTATAATATTATTTCAGTGTTGTTGCTATCACGGATCTAGTGCGGGGTCTATTTATATTTAAGAATGGTCATGGTTATTTATTAGACAGCAAACCTTGTCTAATTGATTTTATTTTCCACAAGATAAGCCAGTTCCTCGGGGGAGTATTGAAGGCTGGGCTAAGGCAGCAGAAGCAACTGCCTTGGGCGCCATGCTGTGGGGGTAGGGGGTTGTAACTGGGGTGGGAGCTTCTCCTGCCTCTGCATGGCCCGGCTGTCTCCTAGACAGTGCAGGACTGAGTTGTCAAATTGATAGGTCAGTCCTGCAGATTACACAGGAACAGCAGGGCTCTCCACTCTGCTGTCAGAGTGACAGCCACCTGCTCTGTGCCAGGATTCAATGATTACAAAGGGACAGGCAAATTATTCCTGTGTAATCTATGGGGCTGAGCTGTCAGTTGTCTCTCTTTCAGGTCCTGTTCCGCAGTCATTTATAAATTAGAGCTGCTATTGTAGCTTCTATTCATAAATTATTGTTATGTTTTTTTTTAAACTTTATTAAACAACATTTTAGACCCTTATTAACTTTTAGTTAACCTTACTTGGTTTTTATTAATTCCTTCATTCCCTTCTTTCCCTAGAATTTTTTGGTATGTAAATTAAGGGGCTGACCAGGGGAGTGCCATGAGTTGGCTTACTAGCAGATTTCTGCATCAGTGATGTCCAATGCCTGCACTTACAGTGTCATGAGCAACTATGGTCCCACACAGAAGAGTCACAGAATATCAGCAATGGCAGCACAATGTCTTACACAGAAGGTCAACAATAGCAGCTCCTAGGTTCCTCTCAACACAAATGTGTTTTAATAATCATCTGTTGTCAAAGAGATGTTTTTAAGAAAAACTATTTGTTAAGATAAGTGCGATTTTACACTTAACATGCCTTTACTATCCACTCTCCCCTACCAGCTATGTAAATAAGTCTTTTTTTCACTTCCCATGGCCAAGGCCTTGTTTAATAGCTCAGCATTCGCTCTTCCCACTGCACAGCTTGTATGTCAAGCTTAAGATGGCATCTGGAGTTGGAATACAATGGCATATTGCCTGACATGTGTGATGAGGTAACAATGGGGACTATTTTCCCCATTGTTTTCCAGTGTATTTGACATGAGTCTTTCATAAATCCACAACTGATGATCCTCTAAGGAATTCGGTGTGCTGGTGACGTTTCTCTTTACTATTTTCCATGGCCCTAAACCATTCTATGTTTCATAGAAGCAGGGTTTGCAACAAATCAGAGGTCAAGCAGGCAGGGATGAAAATTCGATGAAAGATAATACTGAATCAATGTGGACTACACTCTCTCAAATAACTGAGTGGCGGCGTCTGGTATTTGGTGTCCCGATGCAGAGGGTCAGGTGTAGGAAGTGGAAAACTGTATGTTCAAAATGGAGTGTTCACCGTGTGATTGGGGACCACAGGCGCCTAATTGAAAAAGGCAAATTAGAACACAGTGTCCCTAAGCACTTCACTCTAAAACACCACAAAAGAATTCAGGGCCTCCGGGTGTTTGCCATCGAGCATATCTCTACACATCTGTCTCCATCGGAACGATTTCATCGCCTTTGCAAAAGAGAAACATTCTGGATTTACAAATTAAACACCTTGACACCAGTTGGTCTAAATGAAGAAATTGAGGTCCACACCATTCTTTAGCTCCCCTGTAACATCGACCCACTATGATTCTGAACACGAGAAAATAACGAGCCCTCCAACCTGGAAAAGTACCATGCCCCTTAGAGCAACTCGTTTATGCTCCTGAGTTTGTATATCTATGCGTGCTTGGTTGGGGAAGCACGGGCCGCGTATTGCGCGGATGGCATGTACTCTTTAATTTATTTATTTTGTAACTTTTACTCTTTTTTGATCTCTAATTTTTTGAATTTTGAGAATAGTGATTTTTGTAAAAATTTAAAAATAAAAAGCCTCCAGTTGTTTGTATATTTGCACACATGTGTATAGGCACATGGAGATGCATTAGTGTTCTGCACACATAGATTTTTATAGGTCCCCATACCCATTTGTAGTTTTTAATCTATGAATCAACCCCTGTCCAACTAAGATACAGGGTCTTATTTTACTCACTTGTATCAATTTGATTTTATACCCTCCACATGATTATTATGAGTATCTAACATCAAGTTTTCTAAAAAAAAAAAAATCTTCAATTATTAAAAAATTTGGTTTTATATAAATCCCCTTTTTTATTATTAAATTATAGTGTCAACCCCAAAACACCAGCGTTTTAAAATGGGTGTGTATATATACGATATATACGGTAATGAGCTCCCACAGATGCACCTGTTTCTCACTGACAGGGTTCTTCGCTCCCGATCCTTTGTAATTACCGATACAACACTGTACGGCCTTACCCGAAGGGTCCGCCCCATTATAGGTCCGTCATGACTCCTAGTTCCACCTAGTATTTTTGTATACCGTGTTTCCCCGAAAATAAGACACTGTCTTATTTATTTTTTTGCACGAAATAAGACACTAGGTCTTATTTTCGGGGTAGGTCTTATATTACAGAAATCCCTGAAGATAGTGCTAGGGCTTATTTTCGGGGTAGGTCTTATATTACAGAAATCCCTGAAGATAGTGCTAGGGCTTATTTTCGGGGTAGGTCTTATATTACAGAAATCCCTGAAGATAGTGCTAGGGCTTATTTTCGGGGTAGGTCTTATATTACAGAAATCCCTGAAGATAGTGCTAGGGCTTATTTTCGGGGTAGGTCTTATATTACAGAAATCCCTGAAGATAGTGCTAGGGCTTATTTTCGGGGTAGGTCTTATATTACAGAAATCCCTGAAGATAGTGCTAGGGCTTATTTTCGGGGTAGGTCTTATATTACAGAAATCCCTGAAGATAGTGCTAGGGCTTATTTTCGGGGTAGGTCTTATATTACAGAAATCCCTGAAGATAGTGCTAGGGCTTATTTTCGGGGTAGGTCTTACTTTCGGGGAAACACGGTATGTCATATGGGGTTCCTCTCCCTGTTTTAAGGAGCTTAGCACACCTACCACCACTGTCCCCCTAATTGTGACTATTAAACTGGAGTGTGCTGTTTCACTCATTCAGATTGAATTCAAATTAGTAGATTGCCAGGACTGTGATATGCTTGGTTGCAAGCAGTAAACATGAATGTCATGAGTTTTGAACTTAGAACACGTGACCCCTTATGTTTTTTTAATGAGTAGCACTTCTACAGGACCCTCCGTCAATTGATGTTGGAAGTTGAGCATCTGGTAACTATTCATCCACAGGGCAAGGACAGTTTGGCAGGTCCACTATATGTGATAAAAGGTGCCTATAGCATTGCATTCTCTGAAACATTTTAGTAAGGCCTTTAGATTAACATAGCTTTATGGGCTGATACCCTCAGGAGGGCAGTCTGTAATTAGTTTTTTTCGTTAGGGAGCTGGTTTTTACTGTCTGCCATATTTAAGACCAATCTTCCACTTCCAAGATTCTGTTAGGGTCCTCCTCCCATTTGGACGTGTATGTAGGAATGGCAGAGTTTCAGTGGTCAAGAGAGAGCCCTTAGCTTTTTTTTATTACTGTTTGTACATAAGAATTTTAAATTTGTGTTTAGTTTTTGCCAAATTAAAAAGCTGGGTGGGGATTTGGCATCCTTAACTTTTAATTTAACTTTAAAAATCAGTATCACCTACCCACTTTCCCTAACCAGCTACCTAATTTTAACAGCAGAAATCTCTCTTATCAGAATCAGCTCCTTCTTCCTGCTGCGCTGCATGTATGTCAAACTTAGGAGGGAAACTTTAAGGAAAGTTCAGGGCATTCCAACTGAAGAAGTCCAGTACAGGTTTGAGCATGTGCGTGTACTGTGGATGATGGCCCTGTGCAAAGGCTCACTTAGTGCCAAATGGCCTATAAGAACTGTGCAACATGGACAGATTGTCTTTAGCTAGTTCCTGGTTGCCTGTGACCTGACCTGCCTTTTTTTCTTACCTGTGTATGACCTGGCTAGCCTTCTGTGCTGCCTTCGCATCTTTGCCTGCTCATTGTGAACTCAGCTTGCCTATTGTTACTCTGCCTTCTGCCCTGTACTTTACTGTCCGACTGTTACTGACCTTGGCTTGTGCCCAAACTCTGCTTCGGTCTCCTGATTTGGTATCCCACTGAGCGTGTGTCCTAGCTATGTATCTTAATACATAATGAAACTTTGCTTTACAATGTGACAATACTATGGTCAATAAAGGAGATTGACCAAGAATTCAATTGCAGTGCGAGTGACCTTCTACCGATTGCATCAGCTATCTCCTGCTATGGTACCACACTGTTCTGGTGTCAGGTCTCGGCCCTGCAGCCCACAGTCATCCAGTCCACACACCCAATTGCTGCTCAGATCCCGTTTTGCCTCCAATGCCGACACTTGTTTGACAAAGGAACACGGAGGGCGCAACAGCAAACACAAAAATAAAGCACTAGTTAGTTGGACTGTAATGTGTATAACGAACAGGGGATCAGATGTGATGGTAAAGAATCACTGGCGAAGAATCAATGTGATATCACCTACATGTGGATC